GGCCAGGGAGAGGGGGAATGGGTGTGGGGGAAAGGGTCAGAGGTTGTGGGGACGAAGAAGGGGATGGGGGGGTAGGAATCGATTACTTCGGTTAGCGTTGGTCCTAAATGTGATTGCCAACTCATGCAGAGAGCAGGGAACCAGACATTGGGGCAAAGAGAATGGCTTACAGAACATTACACAGAGCAGGGCAGACACAGAAGGGAACAAAGCAGAGAACCAGTGAAGGGAACAGCGCAGGGCACAGAGGAGGGCAGACACAGAATGGAACAAAGTAGAGAACAAGTGAAGGGAACAGCGCAGGGCATCGAGGACGGCAGACACAGAATGGAACAAAGCAGAGAACCAGTGAAGGGAACAGCGCAGGGCACAGAAGAGGGCAGACACAGAATGGAACAAAGCAGAGAACCAGTGAAGGGAACAGCGCAGGGCATCGAGGAGGGCAGACACAGAATGGAACAAAGCAGAGAACCAGTGAAGGTAACAGCGCAGGGCACAGAGGAGGGCAGACACAGAATGGAACAAAGCAGAGAACCAGTGAAGGGAACAGCGCAGGGCATCGAGGAGGGCAGACACAGAATGGAACAAAGCAGAGAACCAGTGAAGGGAACAGCGCAGGGCACAGAGGAGGGCAGACACAGAATGGAACAAAGCAGAGAACCAGTGAAGGGAACAGCGCAGGGCATCGAGGAGGGCAGACACAGAATGGAACAAAGCAGAGAACCAGTGAAGGTAACAGCGCAGGGCACAGAGGAGGGCAGACACAGAATGGAACAAAGCAGAGAACCAGTGAAGGGAACAGCGCAGGGCATCGAGGAGGGCAGACACAGAATGGAACAAAGCAGAGAACCAGTGAAGGGAACAGCGCAGGGCACAGAGGAGGGCAGACACAGAATGGAACAAAGCAGAGAACCAGTGAAGGGAACAGCGCAGGGCATCGAGGAGGGCAGACACAGAATGGAACAAAGCAGAGAACCAGTGAAGGTAACAGCGCAGGGCACAGAGGAGGGCAGACATAGAATGGAACAAAGCAGGGAACCAGTGAAGGTAACAGCGCAGGGCACAGAGGAGGGCAGACACAGAATGGAACAAAGCAGAGAACCAGTGAAGGTAACAGCGCAGGGCACAGAGGAGGGCAGACATAGAATGGAACAAAGCAGAGAACCAGTGAAGGTAACAGCGCAGGGCACAGAGGAGGGCAGACACAGAATGGAACAAAGCAGAGAACCAGTGAAGGGAACAGCGCAGGGCATCGAGGAGGGCAGACACAGAATGGAACAAAGCAGAGAACCAGTGAAGGTAACAGCGCAGGGCACAGAGGAGGGCAGACATAGAATGGAACAAAGCAGAGAACCAGTGAAGGTAACAGCGCAGGGCACAGAGGAGGGCAGACACAGAATGGAACAAAGCAGAGAACCAGTGAAGGTAACAGCGCAGGGCACAGAGGAGGGCAGACATAGAATGGAACAAAGCAGAGAACCAGTGAAGGTAACTGCGCAGGGCACAGAGGAGGGCAGACACAGAATGGAACAAAGCAGAGAACCAGTGAAGGGAACAGCGCAGGGCGTCGAGAAGGGCAGACACAGAATGGAACAAATCAGAGAACCAGTGAAGGTAACAGCGCAGGGCACAGAGGAGGGCAGAAATAGAATGGAACAAAGCAGAGAACCAGTGAAGGTAACAGCGCAGGGCACAGAGGAGGGCAGACACAGAATGGAACAAAGCAGAGAACCAGTGAAGGTAACAGCGCAGGGCACAGAGGAGGGCAGACATAGAATGGAACAAAGCAGAGAACCAGTGAAGGTAACAGCGCAGGGCACAGAGGAGGGCAGACACAGAATGGAACAAAGCAGAGAACCAGTGAAGGTAACAGCGCAGGGCACAGAGGAGGGCAGACACAGAATGGAACAAAGCAGAGAACCAGTGAAGGGAACAGCGCAGGGCATCGAGGAGGGCAGACACAGAATGGAACAAAGCAGAGAACCAGTGAAGGGAACAGCGCAGGGCACAGAGGAGGGCAGACACAGAATGGAACAAAGCAGAGAACCAGTGAAGGGAACAGCGCAGGGCATCGAGGAGGGCAGACACAGAATGGAACAAAGCAGAGAACCAGTGAAGGTAACAGCGCAGGGCACAGAGGAGGGCAGACACAGAATGGAACAAAGCAGAGAACCAGTGAAGGGAACAGCGCAGGGCATCGAGGAGGGCAGACACAGAATGGAACAAAGCAGAGAACCAGTGAAGGGAACAGCGCAGGGCACAGAGGAGGGCAGACACAGAATGGAACAAAGCAGAGAACCAGTGAAGGGAACAGCGCAGGGCATCGAGGAGGGCAGACACAGAATGGAACAAAGCAGAGAACCAGTGAAGGTAACAGCGCAGGGCACAGAGGAGGGCAGACATAGAATGGAACAAAGCAGAGAACCAGTGAAGGTAACAGCGCAGGGCACAGAGGAGGGCAGACACAGAATGGAACAAAGCAGAGAACCAGTGAAGGTAACAGCGCAGGGCACAGAGGAGGGCAGACATAGAATGGAACAAAGCAGAGAACCAGTGAAGGTAACAGCGCAGGGCACAGAGGAGGGCAGACACAGAATGGAACAAAGCAGAGAACCAGTGAAGGGAACAGCGCAGGGCATCGAGGAGGGCAGACACAGAATGGAACAAAGCAGAGAACCAGTGAAGGTAACAGCGCAGGGCACAGAGGAGGGCAGACATAGAATGGAACAAAGCAGAGAACCAGTGAAGGTAACAGCGCAGGGCACAGAGGAGGGCAGACACAGAATGGAACAAAGCAGAGAACCAGTGAAGGTAACAGCGCAGGGCACAGAGGAGGGTAGACATAGAATGGAACAAAGCAGAGAACCAGTGAAGGTAACAGCGCAGGGCACAGAGGAGGGCAGACACAGAATGGAACAAAGCAGAGAACCAGTGAAGGGAACAGCGCAGGGCGTCGAGGAGGGCAGACACAGAATGGAACAAATCAGAGAACCAGTGAAGGTAACAGCGCAGGGCACAGAGGAGGGCAGACACAGAATGGAACAAAGCAGAGAACCAGTGAAGGTAACAGCGCAGGGCACAGAGGAGGGCAGACACATAATGGAACAAAGCAGAGAACCAGTGAAGGTAACAGCGCAGGGCACAGAGGAGGGCAGACATAGAATGGAACAAAGCAGAGAACCAGTGAAGGTAACTGCGCAGGGCACAGAGGAGGGCAGACACAGAATGGAACAAAGCAGAGAACCAGTGAAGGTAACAGCGCAGGGCACAGAGGAGGGCAGACACAGAATGGAACAAAGCAGAGAACCAGTGAAGGGAACAGCGCAGGGCACAGAAGAGGGCAGACACAGAATGGAACAAAGCAGAGAACCAGTGAAGGGAACAGCGCAGGGCATCGAGGAGGGCAGACACAGAATGGAACAAAGCAGAGAACCAGTGAAGGTAACAGTGCAGGGCACAGAGGAGGGCAGACACAGAATGGAACAAAGCAGAGAACCAGTGAAGGGAACAGCGCAGGGCATCGAGGAGGGCAGACACAGAATGGAACAAAGCAGAGAACCAGTGAAGGGAACAGCGCAGGGCACAGAGGAGGGCAGACACAGAATGGAACAAAGCAGAGAACCAGTGAAGGGAACAGCGCAGGGCATCGAGGAGGGCAGACACAGAATGGAACAAAGCAGAGAACCAGTGAAGGTAACAGCGCAGGGCACAGAGGAGGGCAGACACAGAATGGAACAAAGCAGAGAACCAGTGAAGGGAACAGCGCAGGGCATCGAGGAGGGCAGACACAGAATGGAACAAAGCAGAGAACCAGTGAAGGGAACAGCGCAGGGCACAGAGGAGGGCAGACACAGAATGGAACAAAGCAGAGAACCAGTGAAGGGAACAGCGCAGGGCATCGAGGAGGGCAGACACAGAATGGAACAAAGCAGAGAACCAGTGAAGGTAACAGCGCAGGGCACAGAGGAGGGCAGACATAGAATGGAACAAAGCAGAGAACCAGTGAAGGTAACAGCGCAGGGCACAGAGGAGGGCAGACACAGAATGGAACAAAGCAGAGAACCAGTGAAGGTAACAGCGCAGGGCACAGAGGAGGGCAGACATAGAATGGAACAAAGCAGAGAACCAGTGAAGGTAACAGCGCAGGGCACAGAGGAGGGCAGACACAGAATGGAACAAAGCAGAGAACCAGTGAAGGGAACAGCGCAGGGCATCGAGGAGGGCAGACACAGAATGGAACAAAGCAGAGAACCAGTGAAGGTAACAGCGCAGGGCACAGAGGAGGGCAGACATAGAATGGAACAAAGCAGAGAACCAGTGAAGGTAACAGCGCAGGGCACAGAGGAGGGCAGACACAGAATGGAACAAAGCAGAGAACTAGTGAAGGTAACAGCGCAGGGCACAGAGGAGGGCAGACATAGAATGGAACAAAGCAGAGAACCAGTGAAGGTAACAGCGCAGGGCACAGAGGAGGGCAGACACAGAATGGAACAAAGCAGAGAACCAGTGAAGGGAACAGCGCAGGGCGTCGAGGAGGGCAGACACAGAATGGAACAAATCAGAGAACCAGTGAAGGTAACAGCGCAGGGCACAGAGGAGGGCAGAAATAGAATGGAACAAAGCAGAGAACCAGTGAAGGTAACAGCGCAGGGCACAGAGGAGGGCAGACACAGAATGGAACAAAGCAGAGAACCAGTGAAGGTAACAGCGCAGGGCACAGAGGAGGGCAGACATAGAATGGAACAAAGCAGAGAACCAGTGAAGGTAACAGCGCAGGGCACAGAGGAGGGCAGACACAGAATGGAACAAAGCAGAGAACCAGTGAAGGTAACAGCGCAGGGCACAGAGGAGGGCAGACACAGAATGGAACAAAGCAGAGAACCAGTGAAGGGAACAGCGCAGGGCACAGAGGAGGGCAGACACAGAATGGAACATGGCATGGAAACAGTGCAGGGAACAGAGCTGGGAAACAGAACAGGGCGTTGAGTAGGGGCGACACATCATGGAACATAGCAGGGTGACAGAGCAGAACACAAAGAAGGGGAAATGACCATTGGGAACAGAGCAGTGGGAGAGAGCATGAGAACCGAGCATGGAAACAGAGCAGGGGGAGAGAGCATGAGAACCGAGCAGGGAAACAGAGAAGGCGAGAGAGCATGAGAAACAAGCAGGGAAGCAGAGCACGGGGAGAGAGAAAGAGAATTGAGCAGTGAAGCAGAGCAGGGGGGGAGAGCATGAGAACCGTGCAGGGAAACATAGCAGGGGGGGAGAGCATGAGAACCGTGCAGGGAAACATAGCAGGGGGGGATAGCATGAGAACCGAGCAGTGGAAACAGAGCAGGGGGAGAGAGCATGAGAAACTAGCAGCGAAACAGAGCAGGGGAGAGAGCAAGAGAATTGGGAAACCACAAAACAGAGCAGGGGCAGGGAGCAACAGAAGGGAGCAGGGAAACAGAGCAGAGGGAAAGAGCAAGAGAACCGAGCAAGGAAACAGAGCAGGGGGAGAGAGCATGAGAACCGAGCAAGGAAACAGAGCAGGGGGAGAGAGCATGAGAACCGAGCAAGGAAACAGAGCTGGGGGAGAGAGCATGAGCAGATTTGTAAAGCTCACCTCTTTCATCGAGGTCTCGTACGTGCTGTCCCCGCCGGCCTCCCGCGCTAGTTGTCTAACTACCGCATGCTCCAGGTGTTTCCGGACAATTCGATCTTCAACATTCTTCCAGTTGGTGCCACGTGAAGGACGCTTCACAGTGGTCTTGTGGGAGTGCTCGTAGCAGTTCGACGAGTACTCGGCAGGGATCCCCCGAAGACGTATGGTTGATGGGAGGTGAACGAGGAGATGAATCTTAACAAGTTTCCACTTTGACTTCTGCTTTGGGAAAGCGACACGAAGAGCCTTCACCATCCTGGGAATAAAATTTAGATACAGGGCATGCAGTTAAGGGGGGGGAAAGCAGGCCGGGAAGGGAGAAACGGGATGCGGGAGGGGGAGTGAGGAAGCAGTCGCGAAAAGAGAAACACGGAAGGAGGGATCAGGAAGGTGGGTTATGGAATGACAGCGATGCAGTTCAGAGGGAGAAGATGTGTCATGCAAAACCTTGATGGAAGGAGTGCAGCCAAAGGTCATGGAGTACTCGTACTATGGAGCCTGGGAGATTTTTGCACGGAATGGAGAAACAGGTGAGTATGAAGGTGAAGCTGGTATGGAGCTGAGCAACAAGCTCGGTATTGTACAAATGGGATGTAATGTGCATTGTGACTGGATGAAGAGAAGGGAAAGAGGAGGACATGGTGCGTTGGGAGAAATATGGTAAGGCTGGCAACAAATGAACAGAGAAGGCAAGCCTATGAAAGAGGGTGGGTGGAGCATGTAAGGTACGGTTGAGACAAGGAAACTGTGTGCATGTGGCATTGAATGGCTTGGGAAACCACCAAAAAGACGGAGTAATTACTTGATGGTGGCGTCTTTCATCCGTTTCAGAGAGTCATCGGTATGGTACTCAGCGCGGATGAACTCCTTGTACCACTCGACCATAAGCACAATGGCTGTGCGAATATCTTCTCGTCCTGGGAGATCGATGATGAGGGGCAGGACCTGCATCATTGCCCGATGCTCTGAAGCTGAAAAGCAGGCAGTGGATGTGAAGTAGGCCCACGCCGAAGGAAGACGGAGCACGGAAGCTGGTGTGACCTCCTTCAAGATCTTGTATCGCCTAGACGTGAGAAACAGTTCAGCAGGGCGCGGAAAGCAAGCACGGAGGGGAGTAGCATGAAGCAGGGAGGGGGAAGCAAGCACGGAGGGGAGTAGCATGAAGCAAGGAGGGGGAAGCAAGCACGGAGGGGAGTAGCATGAAGCAGGGAGGGGGAAGCAAGCACGGAGGGGAGTAGCATGAAGCAGGGAGGGGGAAGCAAGCACGGAGGGGAGTAGCATGAAGCAAGGAGGGGGAAGCAAGCACGGAGGGGAGTAGCATGAAGCAGGGAGGGGGAAGCAAGCACGGAGGGGAGTAGCATGAAGCAGGGAGGGGGAAGCAAGCACGGAGGGGAGTAGCATGAAGCAGGGAGGGGGAAGCAAGCACGGAGGGGAGTAGCATGAAGCAGGGAGGGGGAAGCAAGCACGGAGGGGAGTAGCATGAAGCAGGGAGGGGGAAGCAAGCACGGAGGGGAGTAGCATGAAGCAGGGAGGGGGAAGCAAGCACGGAGGGGAGTAGCATGAAGCAGGAAGGGGGAAGCAAGCACGGAGGGGAGTAGCATGAAGCAGGGAGGGGGAAGCAAGCACGGAGGGGAGTAGCATGAAGCAGGGAGGGGGAAGCAAGCACGGAGGGGAGTAGCATGAAGCAGGGAGGGGGAAGCAAGCACGGAGGGGAGTAGCATGAAGCAGGGAGGGGGAAGCAAGCACGGAGGGGAGTAGCATGAAGCAGGGAGGGGGAAGCAAGCACGGAGGGGAGTAGCATGAAGCAAGGAGGGGGAAGCAAGCACGGAGGGGAGTAGCATGAAGCAGGGAGGGGGAAGCAAGCACGGAGGGGAGTAGCATGAAGCAGGGAGGGGGAAGCAAGCACGGAGGGGAGTAGCATGAAGCAGGGAGGGGGAAGCAAGCACGGAGGGGAGTAGCATGAAGCAGGGAGGGGGAAGCAAGCACGGAGGGGAGTAGCATGAAGCAGGGAGGGGGAAGCAAGCACGGAGGGGAGTAGCATGAAGCAGGGAGGGGGAAGCAAGCACGGAGGGGAGTAGCATGAAGCAGGAAGGGGGAAGAAAGCACGGAGGGGAGTAGCATGAAGCAGGGAGGGGGAAGCAAGCACGGAGGGGAGTAGCATGAAGCAGGGAGGGGGAAGCAAGCACGGAGGGGAGTAGCATGAAGCAGGGAGGGGGAAGCAAGCACGGAGGGGAGTAGCATGAAGCAGGGAGGGGGAAGCAAGCACGAAGGGGAGTAGCATGAAGCAGGGAGGGGGAAGCAAGCACGGAGGGGAGTAGCATGAAGCAGGGAGGGGGAAGCAAGCACTCCAGAAGAATCTTCCGTTCCTGTGGAGTCAGCTTCTTCACAAGGCACTTCATGGCATGCAGCCATATGCCGTGCTCCCAGATGTGCATGATGTCCAGGGGGACAGCGAGGTACGTGTTGCCCCAGAGAGTTTTTGCAAATTCCCAGTCCCACAAAAGGCTCTGCATTGGGGGTCAAGGACACAGAGTCACTATGACGGGTCAGGGTAATAAATACGAACAGCAAGCCGCAGATTGGATTAGGTTTTCAAGCATATTAGCCACCACAGTACATGGTGGATATGGAGGGAAACCAGGTGTGAACCGCTACGAAGCACGCAGAACAAGCGCACCTTCACGAAGTGTGTAGAGGACTTCTTCTTCACCGCCTTTAGCTTCTTTTTGGTTTTCGCGGCGTCCATCTCCTTGTAAGCATCCTTCTGACCCTTGACAAATCTGAGGACAATGGCGTCTTCCTGGTTCTTTTGGGTTGTCGCGGATTCCTTCTGACCCTTGTCATTTCCAAGGACAGTGGTGTCATCCTGTTCATCCTGGCGCTTCTTATCAGGAGGCTGTTGAGTCAACTCAAATTTCATCTCATCCAATCGCTCCTTTTCCACCAAGCACAACGAGCACGGATGCCCAGAGTTGCATGCCATCGTACAAGTGATCTTAGAGGACTCCGGGTGATCCGCCACCCATGAGTAAAGGAGCGTGAATGCCCTATACTGCACACCGGCACTGTCTTCCACCATCACACCGCCTCTGCACAGCCGCTAGTATGTGTGGGAAAACAGGGAGAGGGACGGGGAGGGCGAGAATGGGAGAACATGTTAGATATGTCATAAATGGTGTGAGCATGGGATGCTGTAACCAAGCAGACGAAGGACGGTTAGGAGGAGGGGGACAGCGAGCAGGGAGGGTGTAAACGGCAGGAGATGGTGGAACGGGAGGTACCGGAACGGTATTAGGTGAAGCGGATGGTAGCTGGCAGGAGAGTAATGACAGAATCCGCCTTGGTGGCACGCATTCAAAACAACAACAGAGGAGAAGGGCGGTCAAAAAGGGAGTGGAGTGTGTATGAAACAGGGAACGGAAAAAAGTGGTGGTGTGGATACTGGAGAGTACAAGGGATGCGCGCCCTTGGGCGACATTAGCAGTGTCTCACCCTGAAAGATGTGAAGCCGCCTTCAAATCTCGAATCATGATCTCTGCAGCGTCCTGGAACACTCGAACCTTTTCTTCTGGAGAGAGGTCAGCTGGGATATTCGGCAGGAACCCGAGAAGCTCAGTGCCTCCTTCCAGCCACCTAGCCCATTCTAGAATATTCCCAAAGGACAACAGAAATAGGTGGGCAGATTGGCGGCCGTTGTACGATAGATTGGTCTGGTCCGAGAAGAGAATGAGCGCTATAACTATGCCAAACTTCCGCACCCTCTCCTGCCAGAGTGATGATAAAGGGAAGGATAGATGTATTGGATCCTAGGTTTCGATGCTCGTGTCCAAAGCGACATGAGATGACGTGGAACTTACCCATGCCTCGAGCATCCAATCCGTGTTTGCAGGGGTACTGTAGCGGCGAACCCCATCAACTTTCCACTCTTGAGGCATGATGCTGAATCCCTTGACAGCCGACATCTTCTTGAACATGGCCTGAAGGAGCTGATGGTGATAATCATGGAAACAATGATCGAAAACAGAGGCGTAAGATTGATGGTTCCCTTTAGACTCTTGGTCTAGTCGTCATCACTGTACACATTCCACTGTGACGACCGTGACACCGCATGACGGATACACTCACAGTTATCGCGTTTCGGCGCTTGAAGGTGAGAAACCCAACTTCGTGATCCACTTCGATCTCCTCGACGATCCATTCGTGCTCCGCTCCAAGGTCAAAGCTGCTCTCGTACTTCTCCAGGTCCCTGTAGCTGTTCCAATCGTCCAGCTGCTTTGGATCCAATTTCGGATGTCTAACTAACTGTATCGTGTCGTTAATCGCCCCGTTGGTAAGTCCGTGAGATCGTGCCAAAATGCATATTTCCGCCTTAACATCGAGAATTTCCTCTGTAGGAGCTTCTTCCACCACGAGTGTGGTGCTACACGTATGAACCGCATCAGGAATTCGCTCTGCCGGCTGGGGCTGCTGCTCTACTGCGTTCGGAAGTGCTGCTAAGGGAATTGAATGCGCTGGTGCGGGAAAGGTGGATGTTGATAACGGGACAGAGGTATACTGCTTCTCAACGTCACGACACAGCTTCTTTCGTTCAGCAGCCTCTTGAGCCTTGCGTCTTTGGGCCCGCTTACAGCCGCCATGGTTAGCTTGATGGCTAGCTACTGTTTGATAGCAGTACACGCGCTTATTACAGAACTCGCAAGCCGGACCCTCCATCGAGCAGATCTGTCCGTAGGACGGAAATGGTGTTTGGCACACCAGCTTGAGACGTGAATGGTAACACTGCACCGTGGTGAGTTAGCGCCCATCGTATGGTCGATAGTTTACTGAAAGGCGAGGGAATGATTTGGCGCGCACACGAATTCGCGATCTGAGTCTGAGCATATGGTGGCCGTGACTCTGATTGGCGAATGGTCATCGAGTGTTAGACGTTGGTTCGCAATTGGTTAGGGTTTGTGATGTACTGCTCGAAGTGTTAGGTCACACTGTTTATTGGTGCGCGACAACCGCGCAGGTAGGCGAATGGGCCTTGCGACTCTCATACTCAGCATCTCCCGGCGTAACTGGTTTCGCGAACTGCTTTCTTGTCGCAGCAAGCTGACGAGGTTTTGTACCCAACAGGAAACAAGTTGGCGAGGGTAGTTTCGGCTTGCGACATGGACCTGACATCATTTTCGCGTACACGCCAATTGTGTCAGAATAATACAAGCCGCAAAAATGTCATTGGAGCAGAGAATCCTGTCAGACCGCCCAACACTGTTCACAAATTCCACCAGATATCAAGAGCACGCTATTCGCTGACGACGTATGGGAGCAGGGAGCACAAAGTTGACCAACGAAGGGCAAGGGCATGTGGGTCCTCCTTCCGGAACTACAGTACAGTACCTGCTTCGTCTCTTCGTTGAGCTGGCTGGGCAACAAAATTCCGACCCTTACCTTAGGCAAGATCCTCATCAAGCCGAGTTTGCTATCTCAAGGTATGGAGGAGAAGGGCATACCCAAGTTAGGTCGATGTCATTTCCAGCACATGAGCATGCCATCCCCGTTTGGGGGATCTCTTGAAATCAAGCCCTCAGATTACCGCACGCTGGGAAACGAGCAGTGGATCAGTGGCAAGGTTATCGAGTGGCTCTCATCGTGAGTAGCTCAATTTTGAACACAGGGCAATCTGAAGTGTTAATCCTTGTTTATAGTTTCTCACGAGCTGCACCGACATTGCATATTTTTTATGTCGATCATGCAGAATGTTACATTATGAGTACGGACTCGACAATGCGTCGTGGCTTTGCACATCGCCTTATTTCTGGACCCTCGTAGCACGCCCGGAGACGAAGAGGATCACTAGGCAGGCCTATGGACTTGACATCTTGTCGTTTAAGCACGTTCTTGTTCCGATTAACAAGGAGTAAGTGGTCGGGTCTTTTTGGATATGTGTTGCACGTAAACATGTGCTGCAAACTAACGACTTTGGACGTCTCGATTGCATTGCAGCGCGCACTGGAGCCTCGCTGTCATCGAAATTAAGGCCGCGCCGGAATCCGTTATCCCAATCAAGTGTGTACTGTGGCATGCGGACTCATATGCAACTCACGTCGACATTGATGGGCCATTAAGAAAGTGAGATATGTGCTGCATATGAAACGCCCTTGTTGGGAACCGATGTTAACAAGCAGTACGTCTCAATGCGCAGGTGTTTGATGAGTCAGGTCATGCAGCGCTACGCGTGGGTCACGGAGACCGAAGCAGAGGCCTGGGCAGCTGCGATTCAGTTAAACGCCATAGCGGTATGTGAATTAACGGATTAAGGGAGGAGTGGTGTGGGACAGGCCGCGCATGAACAAGCATGGGATGCGCTGATGAGTAGGGGAGGGGGTGTTGTGTGCTGCGCATGGACAGACACGGGATGCGCGGATGAGTAGGGGAGGGTGAGTTTTGTGATGCGCATGGAGAAGGCATGGGATGCGCGGATGAGTATGGGAGGATGAGTTTTGTGATGCGCATGGAGAAGGCATGGGATGCGCGGATGAATAGGGGAGGGTGAGTTTTGTGATGCGCATGGAGAAGGCATGGGATGTGCGGTCGAGTAGGGGAGGGTGAGTTTTGTGATGCGCATGGAGAAGGCATGGGATGCGCGGATGAGTATGGGAGGATGAGTTTTGTGATGCGCATGGAGAAGGCATGGGATGCGCGGATGAGTAGGGGAGGGTGAGTTTTGTGATGCGCATGGAGAAGGCATGGGATGTGCGGTCGAGTAGGGGAGGGTGAGTTTTGTGATGCGCATGGAGAAGGCATGGGATGCGCGGATGAGTATGGGAGGGTGAGTTTTGTGATGCGCATGGAGAAGGCATGGGATGTGCGGACGAGTAGGGGAGGGTGAGTTTTGTGATGCGCATGGAGAAGGCATGGGATGTGCGGACGAGTAGGGGAGGGTGAGTTTTGTGATGCGCATGGAGAAGGCATGGGATGTGCGGACGAGTAGGGGAGGGTGGGTTTTGTGATGAAGATAGAGAGGCATGGGATGCGCGTATGGGATACTCCTCTCCTCCCAACCCTGCTGCTACTCCTCTCCTCCCTTCCCTGCTCCTACTCCTCTACGCCCTTCCCTGCTCCTACTCCTCTCCGCCCTTCCCTGCTCCTACTCCGGAGAAAGTTAAATGCTCCTCCCTTCCCCCCTCCTACTCCTCTCCGCCCTTCCCTGCTCCTACTCCTCTCCTCCCCTTCCAGGCTGCTACTCCTCTCCTCCCCTTCCATGCTGCTACTCCTCTCCTCCCTTCCTTGCTGCTACTCCTCTCATCCCTTCCCTACTGCTGCTCATCTCCTCCCTTCCCTGCTGCTACTCCTCTCCTCCCTTCCCTGCTGCTACTCCTCTCCTCCCTTCCCTGCTGCTACTCCTCTCCCCCCTTCCCTGCTGCTACTCCTCTCCTCCCTTCCTTGCTGCTACACCTCTCTTCCCTTCCTTGCTGCTACACCTCTCCTCCCTTCCTTGATGATACTCCTCTCCTCCCTCCCTGCTGCTACTCATCTCCTCCCTTCCCTGCTGTTGCTCCTCTCCTCCCTTCCCTGCTGCTGCTCCTCTCCTCCCTTCCCTACTGCTGCTCCTCTCCTCCCTTCCCTGCTGCTGCTCCTCTCCTTCCTTCCCCCCTCCTACTCCTCACCTCTCTTCCCCCATCCTACTCCTCTCCTCCCTTCCCTGCTGCTACTCCTCTCCTCCCTTCCCTGCTCCTACTCCTCTCCTCCCCTTCCCTTCTGCTACTCCCCTCCGCCCTTCCCTGATGCTACTCCTCTCCTCCCTTCCCTGCTGCTACCCCTCTCCTCCCTTCCCTGCTCCTACTCCTCTACGCCCTTCCCTGCTCCTACTCCTCTACGCCCTTCCCTGCTCCTACTCCTCTCCGCCCTTCCCTGCACCTACTCCTCTCTGCCCTTCCCTGCTCCTACTCCTCTCCGCCCTTCCCTGCTCCTACTCCTCTCCGCCCTTCCCTGCTCCTACTCCGGAGTGTGAGTTGTGTGATGCGCATGGAGAAGGCATGGGATGCGCGGATGAGCAGGGAAGGTGGGGGGGGCGGGTAGGGGGGGGGGGAAGGGGCTGGAGCGCTGAAAGCTGCTCATGGTAACGCCTTGTATGAATCACCTGATTTTTGTGCAATCTGCAGGTGCGCCAGCAGAACAACGAGAATGACTGCGGCGTTTTTGTGATGCGTGTCATTCATACGCTTGTCGAGACCAAGTTCGACTGTTTGAATGCGTGTGACCTGGTCGGGACACCAAGACAGTGGAGGCGCCAATATCGTCACGATTTGGCTAAGTGGTCCTGTGTCGTTGGACCATGCAAGTAGTTTGATCCAGGCTGATCGAAACCCCTAAGCCTGCTTGCTAGTAGTTAGTGACATGCATTAGCACCTGACGTTCTGCTGCGTTGTACTGCTCATCGTTTGATGCAAACTTGCCTGACAGTTTGATAACTGATTTACACCGGACAGTAAGCTATAAGAAATCCATTGCATACCCTATGGACTCGTAGAAACACGATTACAAGCGCGCCCGGGAAACACATAATCGTTCTATTGCAGCACCCTAGATAAGGTGGTATGCATCGGCCGATGAATGCAGCAATGAGGCCACTACGCCGGGGCTATATTCACCAGAGATGCAACATCTACATGGCATGCCAGTTGTTGGTGTGAAACTGACTGTGCTTGCTCTCAACAATTGCATAGTGCGTATTGATGGCTGTAGACTTGGACGTTGTTAAAGACAGAGTGTGATGGCACTCACGCCTAGTATTCACCCTATATCGCCAATGATGATTTTGGTTGAGGTATATGTTGTTTCCTAGACTGCTAGTTTATGCATGAAGGATTGCTGTTTCGAAACACCCTATTCTTAACTACTTTATAAGTTAGTTTATGTAAACAAGTATTCCATATTACCCTAATTCGTCATACTCAAATAACGTCAGCCCAGGAACATCCTCGCTACAAAGAGTGGTGCTACGAAATCGAAATTTCAACGCAACCACGAGGGGCACTCACGTACCGCGATGTTCGAAATCCACCACGGCTCGAAGCGCGCTAGTGCACGGACAACGCTCTTTCAAATTGCTGCTGTCACATTGGTGTTTTTTTTTTGTCCTTGTTATTTTGTAGTGCGGCAAAGGCCTGGTTCGGTTCCCGTACTCACGCTTGTAATTACTTACTCGAACGCCCCCGCGACTAGCCCTATTAGGCTGCTCAAAACTAGGATTTGAAATAATGGCTCATTGCCATCGCGTGCCCTGCAACTTCAAGGGCAGTTGAACTGTCGTGATCCACCACCACCACCCAGCGTGCTGCCATGTGGGAATTCGTTACAGGAACAAGGATCTGGAGCCGACGCTCGATCAAGAGGGGAGGCCACGATACCCTCCACGCCCGAAGCACCCAGTTTGTCTAGCTGGTAGCAGTTAGGTTCTCCTCACGATATCCCTCTACGGTATGTACGTCAAGCAACTGCTATCTGTTCGTCCATGTAGATGGTTCCTCTGGCACTCTATGCAAAGTGAGAAGCTGTTTGTGCTAGCCACGTAATAGTTGTCACGGTGCTGTTCTCATACTAGTAGACACGTCCTGCTTGGCGCGGCGGTGCTGTTCTCGTAGTAGGCACGTCCTCCTTTGGCGCGGCGGTGCAGGAACAGAATAGGCTCGTGGCGCGGTGGTGCTGGTCTCGTAGTAGGCTCGTACTGCTTGGCGCGGCGGTGCTGGTCTCGTTGTAGGTTCGTCATGGTTTGGCGCCGCGGTTCTGTTCTCGGACGGCGCGTCCAGAAATGACGCGTGTCGCGGCTGTTCTATCTTGCACGACTTTGGTCGGCGCGTTTCGTGGGCACGTAGTGCGATTGCGCGCTGCTGTTCTGGCAGGCATGTCCAGCTCGCGCGCTGCTGTTCCTTGAGTCTCTAAGGCCTATTTATAGAATCTCTGAGCACGTGGGTTTCATAGCTCAGTTCGGTAGCCGTTACTTGTGCTTGTTTAGCAGAATTGTTAGAGAGATGGCGGACATCATCGTTACCGATCAGGCCAATGCTAGTGCACTCCTCGGTAGCGCTGGAGCTCTACAACTCTCGGGCGACGCGAGAACCGACGCGGAACAGAAGCTGCACGACAAGATGACGCCTCATGATACCTCGCACCTAGTTGTGAGGTATCGTCGGAAGAACACGCTTCCTGCACGCGATGCCCAGTTGGAATCGGAAGGGGCATCTTCTTCGGATGGTGAGCAATCTGAGGAAGAGGCATACAATGGCAAGGTTGATCGCGGCGGTTCACGCGGGCGGAGGAACGGTCGAAAGCTGAAGCCGTTGGACCAGTTTAAACCTGCTACAGGGAGGAAAGGTACGGATCAAGCTTTTATATCGATTCTGCGTTTGTATGTCTTAAAGTTGCTCGTTATTAGCCTGGCTGTGTATGCACACAATCCAGAGAGGTGCGGCCCTCGTATTATCTGAGCATATCGTCTTGATGCGTGTTGTAGGTACACGCGCCGGTGCCAAGAGCAAGAAAAGGGGAAAACAAGACGCAGCGGGTGCAACAGGACATGGAGAAGATGCAGACGACGAGGAGCAACAGCCAGAGAAAGGGCATAAGCGTGAGGACGAGCGTGAGGGAGAGCGTGAGGGCAGGAGAGAGGGTGAGCGTGAGGGCAGGCGTGAGGGCAGGCGGGAGGGCAGGCGTGATGGCAGGCGGGAGGGAGAGCGTGAGGCTGAGCGAGAGGGAGAGCGAGAAGGTGAGCGAGAGGGAGAGCGAGAGGGAGAGCGAGAGGGAGAGCGTGAAAGAGAGCGTGTTGTGAAGCGTGAGGGAGAGCGTGATGTGCAGCATGAGGGAGAGCGTGATGTGCAGCACGAGGGAGAGCGTGAGGTGAAGCGTGAGGGAGAGCGTGATATGACGCGTGATGAGTCTTCTCCCTCTACTCCAGCAGGTGCCCGTGCGGATGATGCACAGAATGTTCGTGGTCATGGGGAGGGTGGGAGGGAGAGACGTGGCGCAGAGTTAGATGATCAGAGAGGGGTGTCAGGGAGAGTGAAGGCACGGGCCAGAAATGCTGGAAAGAAGGCCGTTGCAGAGGTGGAATCTTCAGATGAAGATGATAGCTCTGAGGAGGAATCAGGGAGTTCCTCCGGGAGCGAGGAGAAGTATGATGAGGAGGAGGACGAGAGTGATGACGCTGAATCTGAGTCCGGGAGTGATGACGACGGTAGGAGAGGGGGGAGGGCACGAGGAGCGCGCAACCACCGCTATAGTGGAAAGCGTGGTCATGCAACCGGTGGTAAGGCCGGTAATGGACGTAAACGGCAGAGACGTCGAGAGCGTGCTCAAGGAAAGCGCACAGAATCTGAGGGACCCAATCGGCATCGTAAGGAGCGTCCTGTTGTGAGACAGGACCTTCGCTTCTACGATGAGATGAGGACCTTGGGTCACTCGGAAGATGCTGGACCGTCGAATCGTCGGGAGACCGTTCGGATGAAACAGGCAGCAACCAACGATCCGTATGCTGCCCTTGCTTCTACCTCAGGATTGGGAAAGAGGGCGTCTCGATTTCAAGATCGGAGCGTGCGTGAGAACGCTGGCCAGCAGCATGACAACACGCTCAATCCAGCCGGTGGTGGTGACGATCTGGCCTGGGGTGGGGGGCTGGGGGCGAATGAGGGTGAGGCGGGTGGTGTTGGAGATTGGTTCAATGATGAAAGGAAAGTTGGACGCTCTGACCCAGCAACTCCCCTCCCGTTTGCATCGGCAGGAGGCAATTCCCCGCTCAACGCTAGCGGAGTGCCCATCATTCCTTCAAGCACCACTCCTAATGATTCCATGCAGCAACTCTTTCAGGCTTTGCAGGAAGCTAATAGGCAGATCGCAGAGCTGAAGGCCGGTCGGGGACCTTTGGTGGACCGGGGGGGAAACGGGACGCAACTCCCGCCGCTTACCTCGATCTCCAGCGAGCAACCTGAGCCGCCCGAAACGCCGGGCGCTGTGGCGGAGAGTGCTATTCAAGGCACTCCAATCACCAGGAGGCATGGGATGCCTAATGCAACAAATCTGAAGGTAAGTGCCACCCATCTCACTTACCCATTGGTGGACCCTACTCGCTGGCTTGTACATTATATCATTCTATTGTCCCCAACCGCGCATTACCATTCTTATTCTTTGTTTGTCTAGTCATTCCCACTCTCTGGAATCATTCCATGCAGTGACCTTTTCTCATTCACAATCCCCGTTTTACCCTTCATTCCCATTTTCTGGTTTGCCCTTTGTTTTCATTCTCTGGTTTAACCCTCCTCATCCTCTGGTGGTACACCTCATTCTCATGCTATGGTTCACCCCTCATTCTAAGACAAATGGTTCCCACCATTTTCTTTCTCTGGTTCCAATCCGTGCATTTGCTCATTCTCGTGCAGTCCCTGGTTTTACATGCTTTTTTGCGTATCCCATTCTTGTCCATGGTCATTATCATTCACATTATCTTGGTTTTCAATCCTATTGGCTGGCCCGTCCGTGGCAATGGCTCGTCCACTAGTTTTCTCTGGTTTTCCGTTTCAACCGGATAATTTTGCACCTCCTCTGTCATTGTGGTTTACCTTTACATTGTTGGTCCCTTTATGTCGTATTGAACAGCTCTACATGGAAGAAGCTCGGACGCGCATGTGTATGGAGGCTGAGGACCATCTCATCACGTTCTATCCAAGCTTTGAGAAGCGCATTCTTGTTTTGCACGAAGTTATTTCCGAGCACTACGTGGTTCCCTTGATCATACTCAAGGAGGCCATGGCAGATAAAACGCGCAGGGATGCATTCAAGCGCGTGTACACTCAGTGGAAGAACGAGCGTGGGTTTTACGTCAAACGCACCGTGCTCGAGGGTTTGGGGGTTCCCATGAGTGGCTTGCGGGCGGCGGAAATTCACATCGACACCGAGCTCAAGGAGGAACTCTGGGGGGAGTTTGGCCCGAGTGAGTAAACATAAGCTTGTCATTTTCCCCCACCTTCCCCCCCTCCCCCCTTTCTCACCATCTCAACCCTAGCACCCCTATCTTGCAACATCCCATATTCCGTACTTGTTGTCTTAAAAGGTACTTTACATCACCCCCTAACCCTTTTCCCATATCACACCCCAACCCTTGGACCACTTTTGTTCGAGCATGTTGCAGGTGCGGACGCCCTACTGAGCACATGGGGAAATGCCGAGGATAGTGATCTCCCGTTCGGCAACGAGATTTTCTTCAACGCGGCCATGGACGCATTTGGTGAATTTGCCGTGGGGAACGACATTTGCTTGAAGGCATATCACATTGCATGGACTATCTTGGTGCTGAGTGACTTGTTAGGGCCCTTTAGCGTGTTTCTCTAGACGGATCGTTTTTCCTTGTGTTTCCACCTGCCCCATGCCATCAACCCTAAACCTTATGCACTCGTGTTTCCAACTTCCCCTCTGTTACTCCTTGAAACCCAGGTTTCCACTCCTCTCGAGTTGTACCCTAAACCCTCTGGTTGCACTCTTCCACTCACGGACTTACATTGTTAATCCTTTTCTCCTTTCTCCTCACATCCATGCAGTACCCATCAGAACCCTAAACCCCTCATGTGTTTCCAAACATTCATTGGTTCCCCATTTCCTTCCAAAGCTGCGCCCACTCATGTCTCATGCTCACATTCTAGCACTGGCGTACTTTCCTGCATCTTGCGATTGCCCCGCATAACCATAAACCTCTCACACATCCTTATCAAGCTTGAATTTGTTCATGATTTCCATTCTTGACAACGCAGATCGACTACGGATTGTCGAAGATCAAGAAGTCGACGATGAACCTCACCAACTCCCACCGTAAGAACACGCGGTGGGTGACAAGCATCCGTAGGGCGGTGAAACGGGCGGTGACGGATCATTTCCGCCAGGTGAACCCTGTGTACCATCCACGGATGAAAGGGTTTAAGTGGGGGAACTTCGGCTTGTTCGTCCATGAGTCGGGGATCGAGGAGTATAGGCCTAGACCACAACCCCGCAACCCGACAAGGAGGGTGGCTTCAGGTCACGTCTAGAGGAGATGAATGGTGGAATTGCAACAGAGAATGGAGGAGAGGAGTAGCAGCAGGGAAGGGAGGAGAGGAGCAGCAGCAGGGAAGGGAGGAGAGGAGCAGCAGCAGGGAAGGGAGGAGAGGAGCAGCAGCAGGGAAGGGAGGAGAGGAGTAGCAGCAGGGAAGGGAGGAGAGGAGTAGCAGCAGGGAAGGGAGGAGAGGAGTAGCAGCAGGGAAGGGAGAGGAGTAGGATGGGGGAAGAGAGGTGAGGAGTAGGAGGGGGGAAGGAAGGAGAGGAGCAGCAGTAGGGAAAGGAGGAGAGGAGCAGCAGCAGGGAAGGGAGGAGAGGAGCAGCAGCAGGGAAGGGAGGAGAGGAGCAGCAGCAGGGAAGGGAGGAGAGGAGCAGCAGCAGCGAAGGGAGGAGAGGAGCAGCAGCAGGGAAGGGAGGAGAGGAGCAGCAGCAGGGAAGGGAGGAGAGGAGCAGCAGCAGGGAATGGAGGAGATGAGCAGCAGCAGGGAAGGGACGGGAGGAACAGCAGCAGGGAGGGGAGGAGAGGAGTAGCAGCAGGGAAGGGAGGAGAGGAGTAACAGCAGGGAAGGGAGGGGATGAGTAGCAGCAGGGAAGGGAGGAGTATCATCAATGAAGGGAGGAGAGGAGTAGCAGCAGTGAAGGGAGGAGAGGAGCAGCAGTAGGGAAGGGAGGAGAGGAGCGGCAGCAGAGAAGGGAGGGGAGGAGCAGCAGCAGGGAAGGGAGGAGAGAAACAGCAGCAGGGAAGGGAGGAGAGGAGTAGCATCAGGGAAGGGAGGAGGAGTAGCATCAGGGAAGGGAGGAGAGGAGTAGCATCAGGGAAGGGAGGAGAGGAGGAGCAGCAGGGAAGGGAGGAGAGGAGGAGCAGCAGGAAAGGGAGGAGAGGAGCAGCAGTAGGGAAGGGAGGAGAGGAGCAGCAGCAGAGAAGGGAGGAGAGGAGCAGCAGCAGGGAAGGGAGGAGAGGAGTAGCAGCAGGGAAGGGAGGAGAGGAGCAGCAGCAGGGAAGGGAGGAGGGGAGCAGCAGCAGGGAAGGGAGGAGAGGAGCAGCAGCGGGGAAGGGAGGAGAGGAGCAGCAGTAGGGAAGGGAGGAGAGGAACAGCAGCAGGGAGGGGAGGAGAGGAGCAGCAGCAGGGAAGGGAGGAGAGGAGCAGCCGCAGAGAAGGGAGGAGAGGAGCAGCAGCAGGGAAGGGAGGAGAGGAGCATCATCAAGGAAGGGAGGAGAGGTGTAGCAGCAAGGAAGGGAAGAGAGGTGTAGCAGCAAGGAAGGGAGGAGAGGAGTAGCAGCAGGGAAGGAAGGAGAGGAGTAGCAGCAGGGAAGGGAGGAGAGGAGTAGCAGCAGGGAAGGGAGGAGAGGAGTAGCAGCAGGGAAGGGAGGAGAGGAGTAGCAGCAGGGAAGGGAGGAGAGGAGTAGCAGCAGGGAAGGGATGAGAGGAGTAGCAGCAAGGAAGGGAGGAGAGGAGTAGCAGCATGGAAGGGGAGGAGAGGATGCAGCAGAGAGTAGCACAGCAGAGAGGATGCAGCAGAGAGTAGCACAGCAGGGAGGATGTAGCAGAGAGTAGCACAGCAGGGAGGATGTAGCAGAGAGTAGCACAGCAGGGAGGATGCAGCAGGGAGCAGCACAGTAGGGAGAATGTAGCATGGAGTAGCGCAGCAGGAAGCATGCGGCATAGTATGGACCTAGGGGTTGATAGTGGGGAGAAGTAGCGCAGGTGCCAGCTAGGTACCAGAGGATGAGTAGGCATCTACTATGTTGTAAGCATTTTTCAAGCTAATATTATGATTTACACGTACATTATTTCCCTCTTACGGTGAATTTATGGAAAGCCCTATACAAACTACCAATTGTGATTTTCAATCTCCAATTGTGGTTTCTTTAAATGTTGCATATTCCTATTCCTGTATTATTATGTGCATATAAAAGTGTGAAGCAAAACTTATCCAAGCACAAAAAAGAATCACATAATTTAACCAAATATGATCAAAACGAGTTATCCTAAACACAATGAGAAGTTCCTCACAACTGTTTTAAAACACTCCAACCATCTACAAAGCATCTGACACATCATCTTGGAAAAGTTCGATACTTTCTTCTAAAAAAGTACCGACCCCTACATCTTCAAATCATCTGCAAAAACACATGAGAAACACATCATGAGAGGTTTTCGGCCACTTGATTTTTGTGATGTTGGTGCCATTGTTCTCTAGCTATGTCCACCATTCTGCTTGCTCTGCATTTGCAATCCCTTTGTTGCATTCCGGCGAGTTAAGCCTTGCTGACCATGCATTCCATGAATGCCTTTGTGTGTTTCTTTCCATCACTTGCACTCCCTTGCTTCTTGGACAATTCATCCCTGCTCTCATGGCTATGCTGGAAGGGGTGCTGTGTGCTTGGAATTCTTATGTGAGATTTTGTGGAAACGAGATTCCCACTGCTGATGCCAATTTTTTTACAAGCCAATCCTCTCCCTCCCAAGTGTAATCACAGAAGCAAAACATCTTATATACGTAGAAACTGAACACTGACATTTACAAGCCAAGCTAGGTGTTATTGTTGGCGTCTAACCTTTCCCCGTCTCCCTCAATTTCGCTGGTGTGGCTCATACTGGAAGGAGTTCAATGCAGCAAAACACTAGCCCTAACGCTCCTCTCAGGTTGCTATCATCTCCATGGACATAGGCACAGGAGGAGAACACATGGACTGCAAGGGCCTCTCCTTCTCACTTAATCTCCAAAGCACCTGAATTCACCAATCTCTAAGTTTCTGTTGTTCTTGATCAAGTTCCCTCAAGATTTATAATTTTCCCCACCCGTTCCATTCCAATGCCCACCAGGAATCTATATGATCAAGCCTTAATGGGATCCATTCCAGATTTCATCAGTGCCTTGGACAAGCTGACTTCTCTGTGAGTAACATTAGATCTGGTATATGTGGGAGCATGCACAGATGAGTGTGGGCAAGATGGCGTGTGCACAGATGAGTATCAGCTCGGCATGCACAACGGCCTACATTTGTTCACCCACATTTCTAGTCCAATTGGACCTTTAGTCGTCGATCAGCATACCAGTCCACTTCGGCTTCAATGCTGCTTTGGTGTATACACATGTTGGAATGCTTGGGTAACATTCTACCATTGCCTCGTATGGTATCTCTCATTCTTCATTCTTGTGATGTCTGCTCTGCTGTTTACAAAAATGTGTTACAATGTCAAACTTGAAGGAACACACTGGGAACAAGTGGGCATTACATCTTCCACTTCCAAAATTATTTTTTGGAGTGTGTGTAAGCTGTCATAAGTACATGCTCAAATCTCATGGCTTTTTCAAACTTCATTTTCACTCCTCTCTCGCACTTTCTCTATCTCTGTTTTCCTGGATGGAACTCTTTGAATGTATGTACCATCAGGTCTTTATCGCATAATGTCACCGAATATGCACTTCGTGCATATGCGATAACAGTTGGTGCGCGGGTGTAGATGCAAGTGTAGGTTCAGGTGTAGTCTTTGTATGATTACAATTTGTGGGTGAGTTGCTTGGGAGTATGGGGGGTTGAGGCGAAGTTGTTGGGAAGGGTTAGAGCAAACATCGAGGGGTGGGAATCTAACGAACCAATCTGAAGCAACTGGGCCTGGCTCGAGGCGCACATCGAGAAGTGTGCGACTGAGCCAGGTTCAGGTAAATTCAGTACCAAACACCCTCTCGTTGCTTTTCTCCTGTTATTCTCTCATATTAGTGGAAAGCTGTTACCTCAGATCTAGCATCCGGTGGCACTCCACTATGGGAGGACCTACGGGGTGAGGGAGGAAACTCTTTCATGGTGGTGGCTGAGGCTGATCAACCACGTAAGGAGAAGGAAGGCAAGGGAGTGACAAGAGGAAGAGCAGGTTGCAAGGATGAGGTGGTTCTCCGACAATAACAGATTGATTGGGTCTATTCCATCGACCATTGGCAATATGAGCAGCCTTGTAATTCTGTCAGTATCAAGAAAACCTTATTAGAAGTTCACACCTGACTTGGATGGCTTTGATTCACTCCTTCACCTACAGCTTAGAGCTGGTTTGATTTGGGAATGAGCAAGGAGATGAGCTCTAGCTGTGTCCAACCAAAGGTTTTATGTAGGCTTGAGCAAAGTGCCCGACCGTGTCGGGTCGGGTCAACCCGCCCCACCCGGATTTTACCAGACGCCGACCCAGTCGAGCCCGGTCGATCCGCGGACCGATTCCTGAAATCGGGCCAGTTCGGGTCTGGTTTTGACTTGATATTGACCCAGCCCGGAATTTGGTCATTGTATAGAAATCGGGTCAGGTACA